CTATATATACACACACACAATATATATATGATATATAGTAATCAGCCCTACTGAAGATTGGATTAAAAAGGATTGAAAACAGCCTTAAACTGTGGTTTAGGAATAAATTTCTGCTGCTGACGACCTGTAAAGCTTCTTGAATTGCAAGGCCAAAAAGGACAAGTAGTAAGGAGCGGTCAGTTTGTTTGAGCAGCTACTGGTGTACACTCCTCACACACCACTGAATTGATTCTTTCACATCCTCACCCTGTTTCCATAAGAAAAAAGAAAGCAGTATTTGTCATTCTACAGTATGAAATTATGGGGACAGGCAATATTTTCACTGCATGTATAGCATCCAGCGTAACTTAGGTAGCAGACACCTCTGAAATTCATACTTGCAGGGTTAGTGGGGAGGAATAGAGGAGGGCTCTCTATTCTGCAATACGTTAAGATTACCTAATAGCTTACATCATAAAACCCAGCATACAATCATATGTTTTTGAGGCACTCTTCCATTCTTTTCAAAGTTTTTGGAAAAACTTTGGAATTAGGAGAAGGGAAGGAACGTACCCTATTGTGTACCTCCTCAGATCTGTTCAGAGTGGGCTGAATAAGGGTCATAAAGAAATAGCCACAGTTTTCCTTATCTATGCTTTTCTTCGTAAATCTCATTATTGGACAACACCAAAACTTTTCCCATTCTTAAATGCCTCCGCTGCCCCCTGGTGTCTCTTCTCTGCAGCTTCACACAGAAAGCTAACGCCTCTTCTCTGCCACGAAGTCCCTACGTAAGAGAAAAGTCATATGCAAACCAGCGGACCACACTTCTAGATGCAGTTCTTTTGCAGACTGATGCTTGTAATAATTTCTGAAAAAGATCTAATTACTAGGCAAGCCTCATTCCAGTAAGATACTGCAGAACAAACAAAACCTGTCTCTTACGCTGAACATTGCCAGCAGAAATTGCTTCAAATTAGCCAGAGTACCAATAAACTGCACTGAAGACTTACGGTAAGCTGGGAAATAGCTGTCTTCCTCTTTTATGCAAACTTCTGTAGATAAGCTATGAAATTGCTGCTTATGCAAGGATTTTTCTTCTTCTTTTTTACAAAGAACTGTTAATGGCAAAGGCAAAACAATGACCTGAGCTAAAATACTTTCCAAGAAATATGCGCATAATGGCCGTGTAAGAACATAGAGCAAAAAATTACCTGGTTGCATTGACAAGAAAGCCAAACATACGGGCTTATTTATGGACTCGCTGATAAAAAAGATGAAGGAGACCAAGACTGTCAGAGAAAAGAGCTGAAAATGCAGTCTCCCAGCCACTGAATGCATGTGTGTGTGTGGTAGGGGGAAGGAATGGCTGGAATAAGCAGAACCTAAGCTATAGACAGAGATTCACATATTGGTAAGGCAAGACGCACGTTGGATTCTGCAGTTTTCTTAAATAGTGCATTCCTTTTGACACATTTGATGGCTTTGAAACAACTGCCTTTGAGTCTTTCTAATAAGACGTAGCTAGTGGTCCCAAGAGAAACTGGTTACAATTGGGTTTTTTATTCATGGAATTAGTTAGCTGCAGGAAAGAACTTGGCTCAATCCACATGTGGTTGGATGACGTGGTTTCATCTTTTGAGAGAGAAATATACAGAAAATCTGGCACATAATTCTTGAAAGACTGGAAAGGCTTTGAAGTGCAACTTGTTCTTTAACCACACAACCGTCTTAGTGAAACTCTTATCAGATAGAAGGATTCATCAGGAAAAATCCTACAGGATCTCAGGTCCAAAAACTAAAGTGGGGGACCCCTTCTTTAACCTATGGCTGTAAATTCTAATAAAAAGGGAGTGAATTTCCCTCGAGGAAAAATAAAGCAAGGATCCACCCTACTGTAAACAAAGCAATGGGGGAGGACAAAGACCAGCTTGCTGAAATACTTTGCTCAAGAAGGCTACCTGATAAATGAAGGAATCCACATTTCACCGACTAGGAAATAAAGACAGGCTAGGAATATAAAATAGGTCAAAACCAGCAATAACCTAAGCATCATTAGAAATACATAGTTTTGTCTCCATTTTGTACCTTTGACTGGTTTATCCCAAATCTGCTCTCAGACTGGGGTCTCCACTGACATCTCGTGGCCTTTGTGTAGGATGTCACAGTTGAAATGCAACCCTCCTTATCTTGTCAAGCAATTGCTCTTTTCTGGCAAAAGGGGTAGAAAAGCATTTCTGGTTAGTTAAAATGTTTTGCTTGCAAAACCCTTGATTTGTGTATTTGCTCAGTGTCTGTAGGGAAAAGGAGGATAAAAACTAATATTGTGAAAAGGAATGTGCCTTTACCTGTGCGCAGATATGCTTGTAACATTCAATGGTACACATAAGTAACCGTAGACACATCAAATATAAACTAGGAATTGAAACCAGCTAAAGAGAACAGGAGACTGTTCGGCAAACTTCTGCTGAGAAAGTGAATAATTACAGTTCTACGTATCAGAAACCAAGAGTCAACCGTCCACAATATCCCAATGGCTCTAAACGCACCTGCTTCACAAGAAACAGCCTAAGTTCATCGTTCTATTGAGCACATCTTCTGATTTTTTTAGACAATAATCTTTAAACAGGACAATAACTACAGGAAGGAAATCACCTTTTTTCATTGTTTTCCACCTAACACTCCAACCATTACAAACGTTGCAAAACTACTCCAAACTAAAACCAGGGTAAGAACTACAGTCATCAGAAGCAGCACAGGCTCACACAACTGTCCCATAGCTTCACATGGCTTTCTTAGTCACAGGAACATGAGTTGCTCACGTGAGCAACTGTGGCTCAGTGCTAACACAGACACCAGAGAAAGTGTCGAATGCGTTTCAAGATGAACTTAATTTACATAAAAATTGGAAAAGCATGACCCAACACAAAAGCCGCAGGTGGAAGCAATTCCTTACAGGTACAAGCAACTCCAAACCCACAATTTACACCCAGGAGATGGGGCCCCATTATGAAAGTTGGAAGTACTTGGAAAGAAACCAAAGTGTGTAATTCACGATATGTAAAAAAGCTAGAAAGACTTCGTTTTTGTAATATAAAGCATTAACAATTCTAGCCTTGTCTACAACTGAAGATTGTTAGCAGAAGGCACCAGTGCAATTACATCCTCCACAAGAGACCAGCCTGGTTATGCCTCGCAGGTCCTCAAACATAAAAGCAGCATGCAAAAAGCATTTGACAGGAAGGTAGAGAAGCACACACCAAAGTCACTGTTAAACTTCCATTATGTAAATGCTTTATGATACAATCTAATTACATGAACAAATACACAAAAGCTAAACATTGGTCTACAGCAGATGCATAGCACCACAGTGCACTAATACTCAGAAAACCAAACCACTTCGGTAAGTTTACACAGTAAACGGAAATTAATCCATAGCACAGTCTAACACAGGATTTGGTAAAACCCGATAGCATATAAATTAGCAACTAAAACAGTTAATTACAAATTTAAGTGCTCTTAGTTCTGTACTACTGGTTGAAAATAAGAGTGCCTGTAACACAGTACTGGAAATGAGATCAAAACCAGAAGAGTTCTGCACAAGAAATGTCTGTATTAGGTATAATCAAAATGAGGTATAATAAAAATTACAAGAAGCTACACGTGTGGAAATTATTACTACATTGCATTTTCTGAGAAGTATTGTCGTGCACTTCATTATGCATACGCAGAGTGTCACAATCGAGATTTGACTCGGAGACTTCCTGCCAGACATCTCAGTTATGTAGTCTAACTAAAATTTGAGTATGGCCATTCTAATGCACTGCAAAATAACTTCCTGACAATTATACTTATACAAAATCAGATTAAGTGATGACAGCCAATATTATTTTAATTCTACTTCTTACCAAATCTCTACTGTACCTACAAAAAGACCAATACCTCTGTCTTAAGAAAGTTGCTGAGCCGCAAATAAGTAATTGCTGGGAAAATACTAGTACCTTTGCCCTGTTCCTTATTCTTTTCCTTCGGCATCAAATATTGCCCCATGCTGGAGATGAAATGAAAACTACAGGCATGTTCACGGTACCTAGCAGTGCTCAGTAACGACGTGTTCTTCATACTAGGTGCAACTTCGTCCAGCAAGAACAAGCCTAGAGGTCACACACACGCAGAACTACCTTTTTACCTCATCACTGCCCAGAAGAATGATTTTGAAAATTTTTTTCCCGAGATCATCACTCTGAAAACCCCAGAAGGTTTAAGAAGTTGCAGGTGGACTACATGAAATGGATTTCCTCCAAGGATGAATATTCTTCAAGTTACTTCTCTCCCTTTCAGTGATCCTCTTTCTTTTTTTGGCCCAACTTTTGATTGCCATGCTCGTCAGCTGCTACTGTTCGACCGGAATGCAGCACAGATCATTTTAGTACCACAAGCAACTAAGTAGCTGAGGACTCTGGCAAGAAAGGGACCATGACATTCAATTGTCTAGATGCAACGTGGAGGGCGTTTCTTTTGGTTTTTATGAATCTGTTTATACTGGAACACCTCAAGCAACGTAAGCTTATAAAAAGATTTCAGACACATTAAGGGAATGAAACAGGAAGGCTTCCAGTAGGTATATTCCTCCAACATCACCTTCTGCAGTAGCTGCATGCTCATGAGAGGTGTCTCATGCAGTTACTGAGCTGCCTTTGTACAGTATCAGCTGGAGGGGAGAAAGGCTGCAGGGTAATATATGCCAGTTGTTGGACGCCCATTTTGCCTTTGCTAGTACACCTGTAAGACTTCAGGAGGTTTATTTAAAGCACACAGTGCTGGTCACACTATTCCTAACGAAGGTGGTGGGAATTTTCCCACCGACTTCAGTAGGAACAGATGTGAGCTAGTGCTCCTGGGAAAAAAAAAATCCCCTCCCCCCTATAACAAAGCCCAACTTTTAATTTAGGAGCATGCTGTAAGATAGGAAAAGTTATTTTGTGCATTTATAAGAGCATAAACCAGAATAAAATTTAATATTTATTAGAATTTCTTCCAATAACAGCATTCAACATCTTAACAAACCAAGTTGTGAAGTCTTAAAAAAATCTAGGATTACAAAAAAAGTTAAAATAAGTTGTTCCTTATATTTAATGGCAACAAAGGGGGAATTTTCTATTTAAAAACAAACTTGTCATATAAACAGTATTATTTTAAGAAAATGTGATTAACATGATATGTAATTTTCAGAATGGATACACAGTGTATGAATACCAATCTGAATGGAACAGAGGGGCGGAACACACTAACCCCCCCCCCCCCCAAAAAAAAAAAAAACTAAAAATAGGATGTTTGAAGAAAGGGGAGGGAAGAGGATCTTTCCAGTGAAATAACTTAGAAAATACCACGCAATGGACAAAAAACGCAAGAGTACAGAAGACATTACATGACACCCTCATTACAACACCCCCTCAAGTCTGGTTATACAGTAAATAAAGTTAGTAAAGTGCATCTTTTAAAGACTTGTCTAGTGAAATAGCTTTTCCAAATATAAAACACAACACAAGACGTGCAGTAACAGTTAAATCATAGTGTAAGTTTTTAAAAACTAATCTTTAACTTTTCATTCACTAAAGAAGAAAAGTTTTAACTGCAGTAGTGTTCACATTATTCTTCGATAGAATGCATCCTCATGTGCTTTTGTTACTTGGCAAATCTTTAAATATGGAGCATGGCAAAATTATGCAGTTTAAGCAAGTGCTTCTCTCAATGTAATACAATTCTTCAATGGCAGAACGGCCACATGCAGCACAACCATGTTACATTTTGGGTAGCTTTGGTGCACTAACGACGGGATTGGTCTCCTGCAAATACCTTCGCCCTGCACTCTTATAGTCGTAGGTGCAGGTGTGAGTCTCTGCATAGCGGTGCGTTGCACAGAAGTTGTTTCCACATCTGAAGAATCAAGAATATTAGAAGTTACAAGCTTTTAACTCTCTGACATGCTGGGAGCCCTTTGACTTAATCATGTCTTGTTTATTTAACATAACTGCTTGGATTCTAATCATTCTTGACTGATAACATTAACTGGTGGGGTAATCAAAATTACATTTTTGTAACTGAATGTTGCAGTTTTGACCCAACAGTCTCTTCAGCTGGGAAGTTAAGCAAGATCAGTACTCCTGGAACCAGCTAGCAAGGATCAAACACACTTATAAATTAAGAACGGTGGGCTTTGATTTATTTTATTTCTTTTTAAAGACCTCGCACAACATCAGTTGGTAGAATTCAGAGGACAAAACTATGGAACTAAAATAATGGCATCAGGTGAAATCCACATAATGCATTTCAATTCAAAAACACCACATCATTCAGATCACTAAAATAGATGTTTAGTTCAGCACAACTTCTGCCTGACATAAACTCAAATTAGTCATCTGAGATTAATAAATACAGATTTAATCAGCTGTAAAGACATCAGACAGACTAACTACAAGGAACATGACTTCCTTATATGACTGGATAAGGGTGCATCTTTCCAATACCAGTTGCAATTTCAATGACTTAAGATTATGATTTTTGCCTTCAAACTTGACAGCTCAGCAGCTAAGACTCCTAACAGGAGAAAAGCATACTCTGGATGTTGTATCTGATCTGAACAAGTGCTTTAAGTGGACATGGATATTAGTGTCCTGTTGCCTGATTATTTGATAAAGTTGCTTCTTGACAGTAAAACAACAACGTCATTCAAAGTCAGAATTCTCTTGAAATGGATTAAGCATTACTTGTCCAACTTACCGTCTTCACTATTAGACTATAAGCCTCTATTTATCTATCTGTCTGGGTTCGTAATAAATTCTGCAGCTGTTCCTGAGGCTTTGTGTGCCTGGTAATTAAATTTGCTTTTCTTTGGTTCTTGGTCCCATAATCACCAGTTCTCTCATAAGACTGTACTCTCTATTTGGTTCATGTTCCATTCTAGTAAAAGGTCATATGGTTGCTCCTTTTGAAACTAGAACAAATGCTATTCTTAGAAATATGCGATTTCCCCCCTTTTTCTGTGCTTCATTTTTAACCTTAAGCAAGCTGCTTAGTTACTTCTAGAAGAGCCTGCAGCTATTTGCTCAGCAGGAAAGTGTGTGGTGTCCAGAACTGTTTCAAGATCAAAGACTGAAGAGTCAGTAAGGAGGCAGTTCCTCACCCTGAACCTCTCCAACACAATTCCCCGATGGCAGAAGTCTCGTTCATTTTGCTGTTGATTGGCATGAACCCAGATCAGATTCAAACGTAGCCCTCACAGTGCAGCAGTTCCAACCTTGACTAACTCATGGGAAATGATAATGAGAAAAGAATATCTTGTGGGAAACAATACTTTGAGAACCAAGATCAACAGAGAAAGTGGGGGGGGTTTTGTTGTTTTTTTTTAAAGTTTGCAGTGATCACCACCAAGCGCCAGGTCTCATTGCGTTGTCTGCAAGCCATGATTTGGGGGACCAGCACTCTGGCGTTCTGCTTTTGAGATGCTCTAGATGCTCAAAGGTGACTGAAATCTCACAAGAAACAGAACACGTGTAAAATCAAAAAGTTGTCAAATATAAATTTGTATAAATTCACAAACTGTGCAGATGTGTTGTAATAGGGCCAAATCTGAGGGAGATTTTCTGTAACAAAACCAGTTTTTCCTCAAGTTGTTAATGATATAATTATTGTTGAGAAACTCTGCAGAACATAAATCTGTAGCAAGTTCTCCCCACACCAGTGTAAATTGTCATCGTTCTTTTTTTGTAATCATGTTCTTTATTTCCTGATATCTTGGATTCTGATACCTTGCATTTCTTGATTTTCCTGGAAGAACATACACCTTAACAGCAGAACAGGTACAACATTCCTGAGTTTTAATTCCTGGAGTTTTGCTGAACTGAGAATTGCAACTTTTTTGAAGGTTTTCTTTTGATTTGCTATGCTTAAGGAATACCGTGCAGCATAGAAAACTTTTTGGTTAACCCAGCTATCAATTTTAAACAACAGCTGGTTATACGCTCAGCCTACCTGCACTCATAGCTGGTTGCCAATCCAGTTTTCTTGCCACAAAGAAAGCAATGCTTTGTAATTTTCTTTTTTGCTTGAATTGAGCCATTCACAGGTGGAAGATGGGTTGCTTCACCTGCTTTCAGAGGTAGAAAGACAGCAAAGACATTTTATTTTTACTTATTCCTGATCACAAACTAGTTAAATGTTATCTTTTGAAACCCAGATTCATTTTGCATTTCTTAGGATACTTCAGGTGGGAACCCCAAAGCCTAAACAGAGAGGAAAAAAACCCAAAAGCCAAAACAGAAAACACACCTCAAGCCTATGAACACCTTTGGAAGAGGCAGCACAATGCGGGACTTAGACCCATTATTTTTAACACCTGTTAAAAGTTCACATAAGCAAGAAGTTACAGAAAGAAAAAAAAAAATTTAAAAAAAAAAAAATCAAGAAACACATCTCCTAATGGTCTTCCCAAATGCAAAATGAAAACACATAATATGATCGGGAAAGCACTGCACACAATGGCTTTCCAAAGAATCAATTGGGCATTCAAGTAGCTAGCATCTAGTATATTCAGTAGCTAGTAAACTCATGTTTGCCAAATAAATACTGCAACATTTTAAAATCTTGCTGGTACTCCATAATTGCAAGAAAAGTACATAATTAGACTACAGGCCTCTATTTAGCTATATGGTTTCATAAAGCACTTTGCAGACGTTTGTAAAATTTCTGTACTTAAAAATTTACTTTACTTTGACTTTTTGCCCTGTAATTCTTGGCTGTTGCTTTATAACTGGAGAGCACGTAAAGAAAAGGCATTTTCCTTCCCTCTGTAGAAGCGAGCTCTTCGTCCACAACATGCTTATGCATATTTACATACGCTAGGACAGTGAAAGTGAGTAATGCATCCTCTCAAACATTCTTTCAGTGCTTCTACCACTATATTGTCAGGATCTCCCAAAAAGTGACCTCATGAGTTCAGAAGTATATTTTGTCCAGTGCACCTTTAATCCCAACAGTCATTTCTCAGCTGAGATACAGCAGGCTACGTTCAATAGTAACACCAGGCAGTCACTACACATTGCAGTCATCGCTACCAACCAGTGCTACCTAGCATGGAAACTTCCAGGCAATGTTTGTCCATGCTATTAATTTCATCACCTAAAAGCATACTATTTCAGGAGCATCAGTTAGCCCAGTTTCTGAAAAAGACAGAGCTTGAAGACAGCCCCCCCACCGTGGACCACACTGAAACACAAAAACCAATACACCTGTCCTCACATTTACCGTCCCTACAGCAATTACATGTAAATGAAGGCCTTGGATAACAAACTGAATCTGTCCTTTGGCCAGTTATACAACAGATCATTGCCAGCCACCTCTCTCTCTCAAGAGCCTGCATGATATGACGACACCAGCTTTGTCATTCTCATGGCTGGAACTTTTTAGAAAATACACTTTTGTCTGACATAAGATACACCAGAAGAGTGCCTTCTTCATAATTCTATCCAAAATGATGCAGATGATAGTAGGCTTCGCCATCATGCAGACATGGCTATTAGGGTATCACTTCTTTTACAATGGAGTAGGTAAGGACAGACCTGTTTATTAATTGACTGCCAATTCAAAGCTGCTCCCCCAGGTGTGAAATGAAGGCACAATCCACTATTTTAGCAGCTTTTGCTCCCACATCATTACAATTACATAATTTTTCCTGTTGCAGCTGCTATTTGAAGATCTATCTTCTAGCTCATTCTCTATACCTAGATCTTAAAATCCTGGAATACATGCCTGCCTCTCTTTTCCTAAGGTCATACAGAAAGAAGAGAAACCTGCAAACTGCAAGTCAAAGATGCGAAGAAGAAAAGTTGATTGCGCTGAGAATCTTTAGCGCGCTGCCTTAAGAGTTTTAAAAAGTATTCATCTAGACAATTCCATTCCTCCCAAGAGAATTAATCACATAAATTAATATTTAGGCACAACACATCCATTTTCAGTAGATGTCAAGCATTAAACACTCCACAGTTACCAAGACTAGGGTAGAAAGAATGATGCCTATCACAAAAAATAGAGAAAAAGCTGCATGATGTCAGTAATCTTCAGCATCCATGCCCTTATTGCTTCCTCCACACTTTTCTTTTGCCAAATCCTTCTGGCTCAGGCTGTGGTCCTAAAGACAATGCTACTGATAAATTTTGCTCTGATTTTAGTATACTCAGAAGTATTCACAGAACCGACCTTTTGGAAGCTTCAGAGCAGAAAGTCATGTTTATGTCTACAGATGACATGCAGGATTCATTAAGTATTAAAAAAAGCTAGGAAAAAGTCACAGTTATGTCTACCTAAGATCTGGATGACATCTGTATGTTAAAGAATTGCTTAAAATATTAAAAGTTGTACCGTGCTATAGAAGTGTAATACAGCAAGGATTTTGAAAGACATATGCCTTACAAAGATAAAGGATTCTTGTCCTCTATATGCGATATATCAGGAAAGATTAAAGAGTCATCTTCAATTATTATTTAAGTCACATTACTTACCTACTCTTTTCCCTACAGCTGCAATACTTCCATTCATTCCAAGCCCATGGGCAGACTAAAAAAAAAAATTTCCACAAGGAAATTACTAGCAGATGGAAATGAAATGAAAAGTTAGGCAGTCTGGTATCAGCTTATTTGAAATCAATGTTGTATCAATCAACGTACCTACAAAGAGTCCAAGAAGACTTCTGTACAAAAAATTAAAATTCTGCAATATAAAGCCTTACTCAAAATGACTATTTAATAGTCTCCCCATACTTCACAACACACCAAAACAACAAAGTACATTAGAGATCTGAAGCTAGGCACATATGGTGCCAGTCATAGGGCAAACTTTGGAATAAATGACAATTAGCGAGCAGCAGGAGAAGTCAGATGACACTTCAAACACAGACACTCGTAATTCTATCATTACGATAACTAATGATTTTAGTTGTGAACTGAACAACCACTTTAATTTTTATGAAAAATTACTTCTAGGGCCCGTTTAGATAAACAGGCAGTTAAGATACCAACAGGAATTTAGAAAACAGTTTAAGACTATCAGGGATTTAAGTACACCTCCCCCTCCCCATCTGCCTTCCCTGAAAAGACACATAGACACACACATGAAAGTACAGTTTTCATAATGCCAGTACCAGAAAAGCCAGGAAAACTTCAATTTCTTTGGAAGCATTAGTACTCACTAGAATATATTCAGCAGCTTCATTTGGAGGAGCAGTTTTCCTAAAGCTTTCTTCCTGAAAATGCTGAAGGTTTGTAGGTAGTGCAATACTAGAAGTCCAAAACCTGCCTGTCCCACAGGAACTCTGTAAACTTTCCCTGTTTGCGCTTCGGGCCAGCGAAGCCAGAAATCCTAAGTTACTTAGAGAACTCACAGGTTCTTTGGATGCCTTATTAGCCACATCTGTGACGTCCCCAGCCTCTGCTTTAGAAATTACATCAGGTCTTTTGCCAAGTGACTCTACTTTCACATTACGAAATCTAGTAGTCCTGGAAAAAGAGGAGTCTGCTATACTACGGACTTCCAATGACCGAAGCACGTTTGGGGAGGCTGTAGATCTCAAGTTACCGGCCTCAAAGCATTTGGGTTGTGTTTGTGGTTTCAGAGAACTGTGACGTGCCACTTGCGCTGAATACCGAAGAGGTGACAAAAGCAGATTTTTCTGTGGACTTAATTCACGAGTACTGAGAAGACCAGCCCCCATTTCTGCAGTGCTCAGCACTTTGCTAATAGGTTTTCTATGCTGCTCTACAACCTTAGATTCTTCATCTCCAGACGACAGTTCAAGTTCTGGGTTCACCTTTCCTATGTCATATATCTCACTACACTGTTCAGTGGTGCTTGCTTCTGTTAACAAAGCAAAAGCATCTGTTTCAGGTAGAAGTTTTTCTTCTGTTCCATATAGTTCTACATTTGTTAGATTCGGAAACAAAACAGCATCCTCCTCACTTGTTGAGGTCGCATTTTCAGATGCTTTTTCTGAATTTGCAGGCAAGGATGAAACAGGAGTCAGAATACTATTTGTAGGTAGTTTTGCATTTTCTAGTTCGACACGAGATATTTTCGGTGGTAACCTGATGCTACTAACTGACTGAGACCAAGAGTTGCTCTGCCAAGTGTCATCTTCCTTAAGAAAGTCATTAGTTGTGGATGGCATTGTTCTACCAGCAGTGGCCAAAGTAGCCAATGCTGAAAGTGCGTTTTGGGAAGACTCTGAGGGATACGAATTTCCAGGAGGAGGTAGGCAGGACTGTCCGATATGGGGGAGCACTCTTAAAAAGCGGTGACGAGCAGCAGCCACTGAGCCACTAGATGGTCGAGGAGCCATTGGAGGACGAGGTTTCACCTTGACAGTTTTCTTAGGCTATTAAAAAAACCCCCAAAACCACATAGAACAACAATTAGAATTTGAATTATGGTTGCATTCAAAGACCTGACTGAGATCATATTCCCAGGAATTTAGACAGTGCAAGGCCAGAAAGGACCAAATCATTTTTTCTACTCCCTTATCTGTTACTAGCCAACAAGACTTCACCCCAACATCTGAAGAATAAAATCAAAGATTATAATCAGAAAAGGCTTTTTAGTAAATAGGCCACATGTCAGAGGAATAGAAAAGGGAAGCCAGAATGCCATCAAAGTTATCCAGAAGAGCTTAGAGTCTCAAACAAGACAAACAATGAAAGAAAGTATAATATCTTCATTTTACAACTACACAGACATGAGCACCAACGTAATGTTTTATCTTCTAGGTAATCTCATTCTCGTTTTTAACTTTATAGGCTTTTCAGTTACAATATTTCTAATGAAGTTTCATTTAAGAGAAACATTCATTTTTACCAGAGCAGTACTGCAAACCAACGCTACTTAAAGCATTGGAAGAAAAAAACAAAAAAACCCAAAAAGCCCACACACCCCAAAAAACCACCCACGCAAATAAATCCAGATCCAGTAGTGAATTCTTTGAATGCGGACAGGTAGATCCAAGTAAAGCCAATGCCCCACAGCAGAACATTTATACAATAGCATTTACTTAAACAGATAAGAAATCATCTACCCTTGATCACTTCACTTCCCAAGACAGCAAAGTATCTGACCTGCTTTTTAGAAAAGCCAGCACTAAGAAAGCGCAAGCCATTTTACAATAGAAAAGTTTAAATCACAACTTCACCTTTTTACTCAGATTCATGTTCTCCATCTTTGCCTTGAGTAGTTTCATTTTATTCATAGTAATTGAATTCTCAATAATCTGTTGTCCAGAAGGTGATGCCTCTGTCTCATCTTCGTCATCAGCATATAAGTTATAAACTGAACCACCACTGAAAATAAAAGAAAGTTTGTGTTCACCCTCTAATCAAGTAATTTAATTATGTTTTCAATGTAGAATATTCTCACAACTAGAAAGTCATATCCGTAGTTGATCTGTTGACAAAGCATTATGTAAAACTGTATGCAAAGACATTTCAAATCCATTTATTTTAGCACATAATCATTCCTTATTAGATGCTCACGCAAAGTGATGATGCTGAAATCATAACATAGCCACACTTCTGGGAAGTTGTTATACCATATACAGTTGGTTCACACTCACTATATATCTTCCCCACAGTGGGGATATCCAGTTCCACAAATGTCTCCTGAAGGAATGGCCAAAGCTGTTAACTGTGTGACTCAGACAACAAGCTGATCAGTTTTCCAATTAACCAGACACTGGCATGGAAGGAAAGTCCAAATTTCTATCCATCCTGAGGGGTGTTCTCACCATAAATGGAAATGGAGGGGTCACCCATGTGGATGTGATATTCTATTTTTCCTTTTCAAAATAAAAAAAAAAAAAATAAAAAAGGATCAGTTTAGGTTTCCAAAGACTCTCACATTTGGAAAAAATAAACAGATTAGAATTGCTAGACCCAAGACAAAATATTTTAACTCAGCAGTCACTAGAAGTTTATAGCATCACATTGCCTTTTTCCATTCTGTATTCTAACAGAATGCAAAACCTCAATGTTTTAAAGTCAGTATCTGACTTGTTTCTCCTATGAAGCATTAATCACTAACACACATCCAACATTTGACAGTGAAATGAAAGAACCATTAGGAGTACCCAATTCATTACAAACTGATACATTTTCACCACTGTATATAGTACATTTTAAAGAGTGTTTTAATTCTTCCATTAGGCTGTCAGCATCTAGAAATCATGACAATCAGGCAATTCCCCTGCGTTCATACAAATGGCTTAGTAGATTTAACTAGTTTCTACTCTCCAAAAGAGACCAAGGAAGAACTGAAGGTCATGAGAAAGTCAGTACCAAAAAAAAAGCAAACTTCACTAATTGAGCTGGCATCTTACCTGATTCTTGGAAATATTCTGCTGCCCTTAGTCAAGAGCCAGTATTTTTGCACTGACTCTCCAAATCCATTTCCTAAAATGTAGCAAAATTCCAAAGGCAGCACAGCTGGGAGGCAGATCTTCAAAGAGCAAGATGGCAGCAAATTCAAAGCAAGAGTCAGCAAAATAGTCCAGTCATTTCTTACCAAAAACTGAACAGGTCCATATGGGGACAGTCAGCATGCATATTACATACCTCTGCTGGTAAAGATTCAACACTAAAGAATCATTTCAGAATTTTAACTCTGCAAGACTTAAGTCACCAACTCAAAACAATTCTATGAACTTCCCTTCCTTCAAGGTAAAGACAGAAAGAAAAGTGATGTGTCTCATGTGTTTGCTTGGTTTTTTGTTTGGTTGTTTTTTTATGCAAAAAGAGTTGTTATCCTTTTTCTCGCATTTTCTGGTTAAACAGGAGCCAAAAACACACACACAAAAAAAAAAAGGAGTAACAAAAGGATTTTTTGCTTTAATGTGACTGTAAAATTATAAAAGTTAGACAGGGAGCTTTGTTCTTGATGATACTTTTAGCCCATTTTCCAATGAGTAAATTTCAAATTTACTTTGTCCACAGGTGTCAACATTCCTGAGATCTTGCTTGACCCAAACATGCTTCAAAAATGATCTGTAGCTTGTTGAAACACTTTTGACACCAGTGCCTGCCAGTCCTCTACCACAACTTCAACAACTTGCTTTTAATCCAGAGACAACAATCGTTTTATGTATTTACACCTTGTCAAGTTTTAACCATTAACTTCAGCACAAATAAAATAAAATGCTCTGGAGAACTATAAAACAAAACCCAAACCAATGTCTCATTTCTAAATTGCAGTCGCTAAATCCTACTCCACACATAAGTGATGTGAGAAAAGCTGATATACAAGTGCCTCAAAATGCTCAGTCACCAGTATACCCACACATATAAACACATTTAACTGTCAGTGTGGAACACACTAGTATTCAGAGTGATTCACAGCCTTCCTCTATAAAGATGAAATGAAAAGGTCTGATCTGTTTCCATTCTCTCCTCCCTTTGCTACTTTTTCCTCTTCCCACAACATCTGACCTGGCTGCAATAACAAATTCAAAAATTAAGACCTTCCGCCGCCCCCCCCCATTACTGTCTGCCTTAGTAGAAAAGCTAATAAATTAATTCCCATAGAAAGCACAGAGGAAAAGAATAAGCTCGAGCTGAATGTTTTCAACTCAGGTGGCTTCCAACCTCACTGGATCATTTGACCAGTGACAGCACATTTCTTAAGCATAATGTATTTGACTTTTACACATGCTGTTGTGCTTTGAAAGGCTTACCAAGATGCCTTGCAAGAGCCAAAAGAGTGTGGTTTATTCCTCCGGTTTGCTACATTTAGCCAATCTCAAGTAAATTACTATTTAATCTATAGACCAGGATTACCTAATTGAGAAGTACAAGAATTTCAGACAATTGCCCATGCTAGTTTTAAATAGAAAAAGAAAAATCGTCACACACACACAAGAATTTGAACGCGTAGGCAGATACCAGGGATCCCGTTATACTGAAAAAATGAAGTTCAAGCTCCTTCTGACAACTTCTTGCATCAACTCACAGCAGAGCATCCACAGTCCTAGCTTCAGATTAGTTTGGATGTTCTTTGGATTTAAAAGGTAAAAGGGAACAATTTGGTAATAGGCAGGGTATCAGTGAGAACAGGAATTACATCTGTTTGCTCCTCTTTCCAGAAGTGTACCTAGGCCAATGCAGCAGCAAGGTTCTCAGTTCTTACTGATAATGGTGGTGGTTTTTACCTTTTTCAAATCTACACACGATACTGTGAGGCCATTTACTGAAAAAGAGTGCAGGGGCTGAAAAGTACGATCACAGATCTAAAATATTTGTATCTTTCCTCTTCTTTACCTCCAGTAATTGTATATCAAACACTACCTCTTTCTACTCTGTAACTATGTGGGAATTCAACCCTGATATTTCATTCAGCCTGTAGTTTTTAAGTACAGATCTCTTATAAAAGTTTCTAAGAATAGTATCACTCTGAACCCACTGAATATAAACCCAGTACAAAGCTCTTGCTTTCACTTTTGCAAACAGGAACAAGAATAGTTACTTAAAACAGCGCAAGCCTTAGCCTTGGAGAAAATGCAGCTGGTCCCCAGAATAGGGACTCCTTTCCTTACAGTTATACAAATATTAAGTTCTTCAGGGGATAAAAAAAACCTACCCAAAAGCTGCAGTATAAAGATAGAATCTGATAATTTTTAATAGATATTACCAATTTTGATAGCTTTAGGAAAAAGACTAGTAATCTGTTTACTACAATGTAGTAGCTTAAGTGACATACTTGCTCTTCTGATGATAACAGTACTCTGATTCTGTGACAGTGATTGAGACAAATTTGGTACCTCAACAGTAGCTAATCTGAGGCCTAACTATGTCCAAAGGCTAGCTTTATTGGTAATTATTTCAGTATATTTAAAAACCCCCAAATGTCGTGGTTTAACCTCAGTTGGC